GCCTGGACTTAGTGGTTCACTACTAACTGATGGTGCAATGAGGATGGAATAGTTTGTAACTCTGAGTGTAGAATATAAAATGCACTGTGGCTTCCACCTTGGTTCTGCCTCTCTCTTCAATCAGAAGCTCTGGGGAAGCCAGGAGCTATGTTATAAGCAGCCCTTTGGGGAAGAACATGTGCCAGGAAGTGAGGCCTCTTAGAACCAGCCAACAAGGAGGTGAGGTCTCTTCAACAGCCATATGAGTGAACCATATTTCATGGAATCTCCAGTGATAGTCAAGCCCTCAGATGACACAGCCCTGGCTGACAACTGGACTGCAACTTTGTGAGAGACCTTGAGCTAGAACAACTCAGGAGTATTCTCCTGGATTCCTCAGAATCAGAAACCATGATATATAATAAACACTTGTTTTTAGAGGTGCTAAGTTTTAAGTAATTTGTTACACAGCATTAGATAACTAATACAACTTCCAAAGAGAGAATGAATTATTTTTTTAAATTTCAGATTAATATGAGGGTACAAATGATTACGTTATAATGGTTGCATTTGTTAGGTAATGTCTCTGCTATAGTTGTGCCCCTTACCCAAAAGTATGCCATATACTCTTACATTGTGCCCATTAGGTGAGAGCCCCCCAATCCTCCTCCCTCTCCCCTATACCCGTCTCTCTTTCCTCTCCCTCCAACTTGAATTAAATAGAGTTTTTCTCCTGTGTGGGTGTGTATTAGTTACTCTATTGGCTTCATATTAGTATTGAGTACACTAGATACTTTTCCATTCTTATGATACTTTACTAAAGAGAACGTTCTCCAACTCTCTCCAGGTTAATACAAAAGATGTAAAGTCTCTGTTTTTTATGTTTTGCTTTTGTTTTCAGTTTTTGGCCGGGGCTGGGCTTGAACCCGCCACCTCCGGCATATGGGGCTGGCCCCCTACTCCTTTGAGCCACAGGTGCTGCTCCAAGTCTCTGTTTTTTATGGCTGAATAGCATTCCATGGCATACCACAGTTTATTAATCCATTCATGGGTTGATGGACACTTGGGTTGATTCAATATCTTGATGATTGTGCATTGGGCTGTGATAAACAATCTAGCACAAATAGAGCAATTGTCCTTGTGGTAAAATTCTTTTTCTTCTGCGTAGTTACCCAGTAATGGGATTGTGGGACTAAAGAAGGTCTATTTTTTTTTTATTATTACATTAATACAAACATGGGGTACAGTGTAGTGTTTTCATATACATTTTGAAATACTTTCATCAAGCTGGTTCACATAAATTTCATGTCATTTGCATAGTCATTGTGTCAAAACATTTACATAAGAAGGTCTATTTTGAGTTCTTTGAATATTCTCCATACTTCTTTCAGGAGGATCTATTAGTTTGCAACCCTACCAACAGTGTAAAAGTGTTGCTGTTAGAATTGCACTAGAATTTGCAGCTTCGGGACTTGGTAATGTGGTCTATTCTCATTAGGGTTAGGTGATATCTCAAGGTGGTTTTGATTTGCATGTCTCTGATGATTAGGGACAATGAGCATTTTTTTTATGTGTTTGTTGGCCATTCCTCTGTTGAGAATGAATTATTGAACTTCAATTTTCATTTGTTCTACATTAATTATAAGATATAAACATGTCATTTGGTTTTAAGATGTAAGAATTTCCATGGGTAAAAATGATATATTTTGTCACTCAGAACCACCCATTCATTTAAACTTTTATTTCCAATTGTGATCCATTAAATAGAAAGGGAAGATCCAGGCCATGATAGGCTGACTCCATGATATCCCCCAACAACCACCCCCTTTATGTGCACCTTCCCCTAGGTATTCAATCAACACTAATGTAGATGCTGCTGTAAAGGTATTTGCAGATGTAATTAAAGTCCCAAATCAGTTGACTTTAAGACGGTGATTATCCTGGATTGAACTGTCCTAACCAGGTAAGTTCTTAAAAGACGGGAGAGTTCCTCACTAGTACAGATTGGAGCCTCCTGAGTCTTTGAGCTTTAAAAGTGGAGAATTTCAAAGGCAAAGAATGCTGGTGGCAGCCCTTCCCCCTTTCTACACTGACAGCTTGTAATCAATCAGGAATTTCAGTCCTACAACTGCCAGAAAGTGAATTCTGCCCACAGGCTCTGTGTAAACTTAGGAGAGGACACCAACCTCAAGATGAGGGCACAGCTTTGTGAAACCCTGAACAGAGAACCCACCCATACCATGCCTGGATTTCTGACTAAGGACCAGGAAACAAATAAATGGCAGTTGTTTAAAGACAATAAAGTTGTAGCAATCTGGTATGTAGAAATAGAAAATTGATACACAAGCTCAATGGATAGGCACATAACATTTTTTAACCGGAATGAATTTATGAGCTGCTATGAAATTACTTGCATGAAATAAAATCTTTCCTAACTCTTTTGGTATGTTTTAGTTTATGATTTTTAGGTGATTCAATTTTACTGCAGTCATATTTCCTTCAACCATTCAACAATAATTAGTTCAGGCCTATTATGTATCAGGTATGCCTTTTTTTTTTTTTTTTTTTTTTGCAGTTTTTGGCCAGGGCTGGGTTTGAACTCACCAATTCTGACACATGGGGCTGGCACCCCACTCCTTTGAGCCACCAGGTATGCCTTTCTAAGCTGGGAATACAATTTTGACCAAAACAGACCAAAGCTTCTGTGCCTTACATTTCAGAGGCTTTACGAGAGTGAGATCAGCCCAGTGGAGCATCATAAGTGAAGAAATGACAGAATCTGATTCTCAGTCGCAGGACTGGTGACCACTGTGTGGGAGAACAGTCATGGGCAGCAGGTGAGGAGACAAGGCTAGTTAAGGAGTCAGAGGCTTGGCTCGGCACCTGTGGCTCAAGTGGCTAAGGCGCCAGCCACATACATCTAAGGTGGTGGGTTTGAACCCGGTCAGGGCCCGCCAAACAACAATGACAGCTGCAACCAAAAAAAAAAAAAGAAATGGCCGGGCGTTGTGGCGGGCACCTGTGGTCCCAGCTACTTGGGAGGTGGAGGCAGGAGACTTGCTTGAGCCCAGGAGTTGGAAGTTGCTGTGAGCTGTGATGCCACAGCACTCTACCCAGGGGGACAGCTTGAGGATCTGTATCAAAAAAAAAAAAAAAAAAAAAAGGAGTCAGAGCCTTACTTTTTTTTTTTTTCGTTTTTGGCCAGGGGTTTGAACCCACCTCCAGCATATGGGACCAGCGCCCTACCCCTTTGAGCCCAGGCACCACCCTAGTTAAGGAGTCAGAGATGATGGGACTAAGGTAGGGTGACCAGATTTTAACATCTGTAAGGCGGGACAACATGGGTGGGGGCGAAGGGGGCGGGGCGGGGCAGGGCAGGGCCTGACAACAAGGCAGACTTTGATAAGCAGTTCTCGATAATCGCTTCTCAGCAATTATTTATTACAGTTTAACATTATAAAATTAACAAAAATAATATAAAACTCATATTCTGGCGAAATAGCCATATGGCCGCCGAAAACCGCATATTCCCTTCTTGTTCTCCAGCCCGTTTGTGCATTCTTTCCAAAAATCGGGACTTTTTTAAAATGCCGCGGGGACGCGGGACAAATTATTGAAAAGCGGGACTGTCCCGCCAAAATCGGGACTTCTGGTCACCCTAGACTAAGGGGAGAAAAATCCTGAGGGATGAGATAGGCAGAGGGAAGGTCTAGAGAAGCAGGAAGTGAGGAACAGGAGGGAAAGAATTATAAAGCAGCTGAATTCTCAGATTTAAATTTAGTGTTTTATAGATTTTTAATAAAATCTAGCAGGGTGCTCTTTGCTTTGATAATTAATACATTTGTGGGGTTGCCTAAAAGCTAATTACCTCCGAATGTGAATCAAGTTTAAAAAAAAAACCAAGTGTTCCCTTCAAAAGATGCACATAGCTTAGATGTGAATAATTCATAAAAACAGGCAATGCATGAGCACTGGAGAAGGGCATTTTGACTCAGCAAGTTCAGGTTCGAAGTGATTAAAGTCCTACAACTCCTGATTGAAATACACAGCAACAAATTGTGCTTCTTTATATGAAGATATGTTGTGGACTCACAGGTACAGACTAAGGGCTGTAGAATGAAGAAAATTTTAAAATACAGCAACTCAGAATCCAAGATACATAACATAATCCTGGAAAGTAAAACTTGGGAGCTTTGTGAGTGTAACTAATGCGTTTAGACACATGGCTCTATCAAGGGGCCAACATCATTTCTGTTACAGGTTAGATTCCTGATCATTCAGGGGTTACCTAGATTGTGGTACCCACTCTAGTTAATAAGCAAGAAGGAAACTGGTCTCTATGAGAATCTCTATCAGGTGTGTTTAGACACAACTTCTCCGGGTTTAAAGAGAAAAACCACCTTCAGTCGTAGGAGAGTTCAGTCTGGCATCATGGGAAGATGGCTCTGGGAAAGGACAGGAAGGGGAGAGGCCTGACCTCTTCTTTCCCAGTCGTAGGAGAGTTCGGTAGCCGCCTCCACACCTTCAGTCCCAAGGAGAGTTCAGTCTGGCATCAAGTTCCCTGGGGTGAGTTTTGTTCTAGAAGAGTCCAGGCGGAAAGGAAAAGAGTAGGAAGCAGGGAGTCCAGGTCAGGGAGAAGATTCAGGAAAGGGGCTGGACCCAGCCTGGAGGTCAGATAGCTCCTAGGCCAGGACTCTAGAGACAGCAGGACAAACAGCTCGGGGCGGGAGAAAAGGGGTCCGTGCTAAGTCCCAGGTTCTGAGTGTGTCTGTGAGGGTCTCCTCCCTGAGAGTGGTGTGGGGGCAGGGAAGCTCAGCGCTGGGAATTCCCCTTCTCAGCAAAGGTTCACTTCTCAGTCTCCCAATCCGTGTCAGGTAGATCCTTCCTGGATACTCTTGACGCGGCTCCAATTCTCACTCTCATGGGGTGTCTGTTTCCAGAAAAGCTAATTAGCATCGCCGCGGTTCCCGGTTAAGTCTTCACTGACATACCCGGACTCAGCGTCTCCTCAGACTCAGAGGATGGAAGTCACAGCCCTTCCAACCCTCCTCCAGCTGCTCTCGGCCCTGACCCTGACCCAGACGTGGGCGGGTGACTGCGGCATCGGGAGGGAAACGGCCTCTGTCAGGAGGGCGAGGGGACCGCGCTGCGGGGACGCAGGTCCGGGAAGCCGTTTCAGTCCCTCGCCCCCAGGCTCCCACTCCATGAGGTATCTCTTCACCACCGTGTCCCGGCCCGGCCGCGGGGAGCCCCGCTTCATCGCCGTCGGCTACGTGGATGACACGCAGTTCGTGCGGTTCGACAGAGACGACAAGAATCCGAGGGTGGAGCCGCGGGCGCCCTGGGTGGAGTGGGAGGGGCCGGAGTATTTGGACTATCTGACAGAGGGCGCCAACCGCCGCGCACAGATTGACCGAGCTAACCTGCAGACACTGCTCGGCTATTACAACCAGAGCCAGGACGGTGAGAGACGCAGGGCTTGACCTCTCCCCCTACACGGACAATCCCGCATGGCTTGAGTTTCCGGGTCTGCGAGTCACCCTGAGGCTGCGGGACCCCCCTGAGACTTTCAACGCGGTTTTGTTTTCAGTTTAGAACAAAATCCGCTCGGGTTGGTCGGGGCGGGGCGGGGCCGGTGGGCGCGGCTGACCGCGGGGGCGGGGCCAGGGTCTCACACCATCCTGTTGATGTTCGGCTGCGACGTGGGGCCGGACGGGCGTCTCCTCCGCGGGTACTTGCAGTCCGCCTACGACGGCACAGACTACATCGCCCTGAACCAGGACCTGCGCTCCTGGACTGCTGCGGACACTGCGGCTCAGATAACCCAGCGCAAGTGGGAGGCGGCGGACGTGGCAGAGCAGATCCGGGCCTCCCTGGGAGCCGAGTGCGTGGAGCCGCTAGGCAGACACCTAGAGAAGGGAAAGGACACGCAGCAGAGTGCGGGTAGGCGGGGTGCGGGGCGCTTCCCACATCTTCTGTAGATCTCCCCTCTCCCGGTCCTCAAGGAGGTGAGGAAAATGGGACCAAGGTTAGAATATCGCCCTCCCTCTGGTCCAAAGCAGGAAAATTCCCCAAGTGTCCAGATCTCATATCAGAGTGACTCTGATGGCCTTTCCTTCCCTTGGGGACAGTTAGGGATGAAGTCTCCCAGGGAGCAGAGGAACAGACAGTCCCTGCAATACTGACCAGCAGTTACCTCTGACCTTGCAGTAGTCTTAGTCATGACCTTTTCTCTGAGGACTTGTTCTGGGCCCTGTTCAGTGTGTTGGGAGGTCTGATTCCAGCCCTTTTGGGTCACCCAGCCTCCACTCAGGTCAGGACCAGAAGTTCCTGTTCTCTTCAGAGACTGGACCTTTCAAGGAATAGGACCTCTGGGTCCAGGCTGGCATCTGGGTTTTGCACTCCCTTCCCCACCCCAGTTGTCCTGTCCTTTCTTAGGATGTCACATGAGTGCTGCTGGAGCATCTATGAGGGATACAAAATGCCTGAATTTTCTTAATCTTCCCCTCAGATCCCCCAAAGACTCGTGTGACCCACCACCCCACCTCTGACCATGAGGCCACCCTGAGGTGCTGGGCCCTGAGCTTCTACCCTGCGGAGATCACACTGACCTGGCAGCGGGATGGGGAGGACCAGATCCAGGACATAGAGTTTATAGAAACCAGGCCTTCAGGGGACAACAGAACTTTCCAGAAGTGGGTGGCTGTGGTGGTGCTTCCTGGAGAGGAGCAGAGATATACGTGCCATGTGCAGCATGAGGGGCTGCAGGAGCCCCTCACCCTGAGATGGGGTAAGAAGGGGAGCGAGGGCATCACATTTCTTCTCAAGAGGGGCCTTTCTGGAGCCCTTTAGAAGGCTCAGGGCTGAGGCCTGGGGTCAGGCCCCTCACCTTCCTGTCCTTTCCCAGAGCCATCTTCCCAGCCCAGCATGCCCATGGTGAGCATTGTTGCTGGCCTGCTTCTCCTTGGAGCTTTGCTCACTGGAGCTGTGGTCGCTGCTGTGATGTGGAGGAAGAAGAGCTCAGGTACAGAAGCAGTGAGAGGTGAGGTCTGCATTTTCTTGTTTCACTGGAGTTTCAACTCCAAGTAGCAGAGTGCCCCCACCCCACTGCTGGGAAGTGCCATCCACATATACCTGCTTACCCAGCCTGGCACCCTGTGTGCCAACACTTACTCTTTTATATAGCACATCTGACAGTGAAGAACAGAGTTTTAATGTAATGATTGCGCTGTAATGATTGCTTGATCCCCCAGAAGGGGTAAAGGAGGAAGGACCTTACTCAGGATAGACCTCCATGTTGTCCTGTCCATTCTGCCCTCCAGGAGGGCAGTTGATCAACTCTTTCCTTCTCCTGTGATTCTTGATTCTGCCCTGGCTCTTTAGGCATAGTTCTGGAAACTTCTCTGGGATCCAAGAGCAGAGGGTTCCTCTAGGACCACATGGTCCTGCCTGCTTCCTGGCCTCTCAAAGGACATTTTCTTCCCACAGGTGGAAATGGAGGGAGGTACACTCAGGCTGCAAGTAAGTATGGGGTTGGTGATCTGTGAGGCCTTTGGGATAGTGTAGACAGGAGCCCATGGCGGAGCTCATAGCCACTAATTCCTTCTTTAGCCACATTTTCTGTGGACTCTGACCAGGTCCGGTTTTGGTAAACCAGGCAGTGACACCAGTCTGGGATCCAATGGGTCTCTTACAGCTAGCTTGAGACCCAGAGGATGTGATGTAAGGGTGAGACCCAGAGGGTGTGATGTAAGGGTGAGGTGAGGCAAAGGGGACACAGCTGGGCTGTGAGGTTTTTTGATGAGACATTCTGCATATGTGGTGGGCTATTCAGAGTGTCACCACTTACCAGAACTGACCTCAATTTTTTTCTTATTTTTTTCTATAGCCTGAGAAAGCTGCCTGTGGCTACGTGTTCATGTTTCCCCTTATGACTTTAAGAGGCTCTGACTTCTCTTTCTGTAAATGCTTCTGGATGACTCTACATCCCTGCTTGCCTATTGTGAAGAGGTGGAGCGTCGTCCACCCTACCCCCATGTCCACAGTGACCCCTTCTCTCACACTGACCTGTGTGCTTTCCTGATTATCTTTCCTGTTGCAGAGAGGTGAGAGTGGGACATCTCCATCTCTGTCTTAACTTCATGGTGCACTAACTAACCTGCTTCCTTACTCAGAATAAGAATTTGAATCTAGGCTTGGTGCCTGTGGCTCAAGTGGCTAAGGTGCCAGCCACATACACCTAAGGTGGTGGGTTCGAATCCAGCCCGGGCCTGCCAAAAAACAATGACGGCTGCAACCAAAAAAAAAAAAAGAAAGAAAAAAATAGCCAGGCATTGTGGCGGGCGCCTGTGGTCCCAGCTACTTGGGAGGTAGAGAGAGGCCAGAGGGGAAATAAAAGGAAGATCTGAGAACCTTCCGGAATCTGTGTGTTTGCTGTGCTGAGTCTGCTGCAGGTGGGAATAGGAAAAGGCTGTGAGGAGCCAGAGTTGGATGGAGCCTGTGCCCAGTCAGTGCTCAGTCTGTCACAGGATTTTTGTGGTCACTATTTGACAGGGTCATCCTCACTGTTCCATTGTCCATGTCCTTTCAGTAGAACCTTGTCCCAGCAGGACCTAGGATCTCAGAGACTGACACATGGCCCAGGGCAGCCCCTGCAAACAGGATAGAATTTTCACACCTGTGCAGGTATTGCCCTCCTTCTAGGGCTCTTTCCTAGATAGCATTTTCCATATTTTCCCCAACCTTTTTATTATTTTAGTTTTAATTTTTATGAATACAGAATAGTTGTTTATATTTATGGGGTACTTGTTTTATTTTGATACAAGCATACAATGTGTAATGATCAAATCTGAGTATTAGGGTATCCATCACCTCAAACATTTATCTTTTTGTAGGGAACATTCTAAATTAGATTTAGACTAAATCTTCTCAATATTTTGAAATATACAATAAACTATCGTGTTAAAAATTTGTTTTGTGACAGGGTCTCACTTTGTTGCATGGGCTTGAATGCAATGGCATCATCATAGCTCACTGCAACCTCAAACTCGTGGGCTCAAACATTTCTCCTGCCTCAGCCCCAACACCATCCCCAGCTAACTTTTTAAAAAATTGTTTGTAGAGATAGGGCCTCACTATTGCACAGGGTGGGCTTGAACTCATGGCGTCAAGCGATCCTTCCACAGGCATGAACCACCGCATCCAGCCTATTGTTAACTGTAGTCACTTTCTTGAGCTACTAACACTGGGTCTCATTTCTTGCATCTAACTGTTTTTGTACCCATTTACCAAGTCCTCTTCAGTTCCCCCTCCACACTACCCTTCCCAGCCTCTAGTAACTACCATCCTATTTGCTACCTCCATGAGATTAATTTTTTTTTTTTTTTTTTTTTGCTCTCCCTTCCTGGAGAGAACACACACAACATTTGTCTTTCTGTGCCTGACTTTTTGCATTTAATACAACCTCCTCCAGTTCTATCCACGATGCTGCCCCAACCTTTTTAAAGGAATCTGGAATTAAAGGAATCTTAAAGGATTCTGGAATCAGCAGAGAGGAAGGAGCCCATCACTTCTCATTTTAGGCATATTTTCTCTTCTCCCTGCTATCCCGCCCCTTCCCTGTTCTTGGTTCTAGCAATCTTAGCACAGGCTCCATTCCAAACTCATGGATTTTCTAAATCAGGCTCTAAGTTAGATTTATTTGCAAAATAAATTAAACAAAACTTGTTTGAAAAATTGGACCCATAGTTAAGGATTGTTATTTCTGAGGAGAGAAATATCACTGTGTGCTGTAGTATGCAGGAGGGTCAGGGCGAGTGAGGGCACCCAACAGCACTGGGGAGAAAAGCATAGGCAGCAATGATTTCAGCATGAGATATTTGTCTGCCAGATACAGCACAGACTGTTTCTGTATCTAAGAAACATCATTGAAGTATAAAATAGAAAAATTGCAAGTTTTGTGGAGCACATGTTGAAGAGACAGACGATATTCTATGAGCAGAGAAAATAAGCAACATTTTTATGTTAGAAGATGGGAAGGGTTACCAGGAACATTACAGGTTCTGTGGGGACAGGGATGGTGGTTAATTGTGCTGAGTGGGACTTGTCACAAAGGTAATCTTTGAGGAAAGATTTGAAGGACGTGATGAATTATCTATGAGGATGTCTGGGAAAGTTCTTTCCATGCAGGGGGAATAATCTTCAGCCCAAATGCACTGGAGCAGGAAGGTTTCTGTGTTCTGGGAAGAGCAGGAGGCCAGGAGGGCTAGACAGAGTCACCAAGATGAGGTCAGAGATGGGGCTAGAGCAGGTAGACCTAGAGGGGGTGGAAAGGGTGTGACCTTTACAGTGATCAAGATGGGGAGTTAGAGGGCAGATTTTGGGGGTTTTGTTTTTGTTTTTTGGGGTTTTTTGAGACAGAGTCTCACTTTGTTGCCCTTGGTAGAGTGCCGTGGCATCACAGCTTATAGCAACCTCAAATTGTTGTGCAGAAATGATTCTCTTCCTTCAGCCTCACATGTAGCTGGGACTACAGGTGCCTACCACAAGGCGTGTGGCTATTTTTAGAGATAGGGTCTTGCTCTTGCTCAGGCTGGTCTCAACCTCCTGAGCTCAAGCAATCCACCCGCCTGGGCTTCCCAAAGTTCTAGGATTATAGGCGTGAGCCGCCTCGCCCCTCCTAGAGGGCAGTTTTGAGCAAAATAGGGACATTGTATGAATTCTCTTTTAACAGAGTCTCTGGATGTCAGGGACCAGCACCAGACTACACCATGGGTTCTTTCCCAGTGCTTTGTGGTGACAAAAGAATGAAAGAAATAGCTTTAAAGAATGAAAGAAAGATAGATTTAAAAAGAGTTAAGGGGAGGGGGTCCAGTGCCACCAACAGTGAGGAAAAGCGAAGGACTCCTGTTCTGGGTTAACTCAGTATTTATTACATACATTGTATTCAATCAACAAATGAATAGTCATGGGAGAAGGTAAAAAACACTTTTGTTTACCACTTTAACCCATCTGCTCTTTAACCACTTTAGCTAAGTTATTCTTCACTTATATTCTACTCTTGCGTTAAACTAAAGAATTAGGATGCAGTTAATGAAACAGAACAGAGCTTAGAAGCAGGATGTTTAAGCAGACCACAATCAGACTACACACACAAACTCTACGAGAGGTCGTTAGGCCTCTCAGAACCCTGTCAGCAGACAGGCTAACTGCAAGGCTATACAGAGAACTGGAAAGCAAGAAGCATGTTCCTCTTATCTCCCCCAGATGTTTTTTCTCTCTTAATGAGATTCCTTGCTTTCACTGTTCCCAGCATATCCTGGACCTGCTCATTATCTTTCCCAATCCCCTTCACATCATGGACTCTCACTGATAGGCACATCCTGCCTCCTCAGGGTCCCCTCTCAGTAGTAACCTTTATCCAGAGTCCCACTGGGGAAAAGATGAAGCCATGGCAAGACAGGTCTTTGTCTTAAAACTGCCAGGCCTCTGTGCTTATTCAACACACTTCTGGTGTTCTCCACCCTGCTTTTGTGTCCTGTGTACGTGCCTTCCTCAACATTCACCTCTTTGGTCTCTATTTCCTTTTTATAATCTATAATTAAGTTTTAATCAAATTTTCTAAACTACTATTTTAAAAAAACATAAAGTAATCAACCATGCAAGCACATCAGAACTATCTCTTCCTTCTAGACACCCCCAGTTCCTCCCATACTGGCTGCTGTGTTGAGGGCAGAGGTGGCTGAGAAGGCAGTGGATGGTCCCAGTTTATTAGATCATCTGGGAGAAGGAAGGTGCTCAGACAAGAGAACATGCCTGAGAAGGCAGGATTGCTGGAGAGTGGACAGCTGCTCACCAGATTGCAATTGGGATATCACTCTGGAGTGGGAGGGAAATGTGGCCTCTGTCATGAAGGATGGTTCAAGAAAAGGCAGAGAGACCTTCCTAGTGGTCAGTAGTTCTCACAGTTAGGGGCTGAAACAATTCAGATGAGGACAAAGCCCTCACATTCCTAATCAGCTGACTTATTCTCATTCAATGTAAAAAGGTCTAAGAACGTTTATGAAATGTTTAGGAGAGAGGAGCTTTCCCTCTTGTCTCTTAGTGACAGGATTATTTGTGACTCATGCTTCAATTGCAGTGTATTATAAAAGAAATCCAAACTACTGCAGTTACAGACTTGGGAAACTATCTAGTATGAGGTTAAGGAACACACCACGAACTAACACTGAAGATAAACTAACCACATTTGTAAATTAGCACCTATTGGGACAAAAGGCCAACAAATGAGACTCCTGCAAGAAAATCTACATCATGTAGTAACAAGTGTCCTTGAAAACTGGACATTCCAACCATCTAAGTTTCTTCTTAGATGCACTCTGTTTCTTCTTCCAACCATCTATGAACTAATTTACAGTAGGTCATCTTAAACCATAACTTAAAATAGTCTGGAGATGTTGGCTTTGATCATCTGTGAGAACTAAGGAATTGACAGATTTTGGGTTAGTTCAAATACTGGATGAGCTGTGGATCTCATAAGAATGAAAATGAAGGAATGAAGACAGACAT